TAAAGGGTTCTACATGAAAAGAGAACCAGCAATACAGATATAAAACAGAGATGCTAATGTTAAAATTTATAGTGCTAATTATTGTTGTGTTCTAGAATGAAAATTCATTGTAATAGTTAGGATATATTAACCAAGTGCACCAAAAATAAAAGTCCCCAGATAGATAGAGGATGCTGTTGTAGTAGGCCAGTTAAGAGCCCTCTAGAGTAAAGCCTGGGGTTAAGAAAATTATTTTCATTTAAGCCTATTATATAAGGATGAGAGATGAAACAACAACAACAACAAAAAGAAATAGATTCTGAAATGAAAGGATTTGTTAAACAGTTTCTATCATCACTTCACTGTTTCTTCCATTTGCCATACTGCTGGTGATTTTTGCTTAAAGGTCAATCATCAATTCTTTTCTAAGCACAAGACCTTAAAAATGACATGAGCCAGGGGGAGTCTTTCACCTACTCTGGAGGTGGTGATTGGGGAAGATCACAATTTGAGGCCAGACCAGGTGAAAAGTTAGCAAAAATGAGATGCTATCTGACAAGAATTTAAAAGCAAAAGAGGGCTGGTGGCATGTCTCAAGTAGTAGACCACCAGCCTAGCAAGCAGGAGACCCTGCGTTCAAAAGCCAGTACCGACAAAACAAACACAAAAGATATGAGAAGATTCCTTTCTCCTGAAGAGTACAGGGAATTTCAAAGCTTGGAAAATAATGTTCCCTCCTACAGCAACAGAACTTCATGAAGGGCAGTAATCACCAATTCAACTGGAGCAAAAACTCACCCAACTCAGAGAATATGCTGTATAGTGTCTCCTCCATAACCTCACTTAATCTTATTTGTGCCCTTATGTATCCGAAAACTCAAAAAGCTAGTTCTCCTTTCCATGAGATAAATTTTCATAGGAAAACATAAATATGTTGCTCTGATTACTTGTAATGTTGAAAGACAGACTCATTTTCCCCCAGGTTATTGAAAGGTAAAGGTGTTTTTCTCCAAGAAGAAAGCATTCTGCTACTTGTAAAAATGTTTTATAATTGGGATGAGAATGCTCTTAAGATTCAAAGGCAGCATTCTAAGAGGTCCCTCTTGTTTGTGGTTGGCAGAGTATCAGTTGTTTCAATACAAGCAAGGGATTGATGAAGATTAAACTAATTACCTCCGTCCTGCCTCTACTCAATTCTTCTTACTTCCAGGTGCCTACTCCATTCTCTCAGGGGAAGAAGATGAACAAATGGATGTGAGCAGGTACACAGGACTTTGTGTAGTCACTAGCTCTGAGAGCAATTGGTCAATACCCTCAAAGCTAGTTAAAGTCTTAGTAAATGGTTCCAAACTCTAGCAGATGGTCTATTGGTCCCAATGGTGTTGTTCCAACATCTATATGGCTCCACATAAGCAACTAAAATCTTGGAATTAGAGGATTGCTTATTTCCAGTATATTCTATTTAATATTTTATGATTTCACTCCATAACTAGATCCTTTTTTCCTAATGGAGAACTTGAGATGGTTCTGTTTTTTTATGCAGAGTGACACAAAGAGCTTACAATTCATGTGGTTAACATTCAGGAAGGATTTACGTATGTTTTCATTTTATAACTAAGAAGGCAAGAAGTTAATAACACCTACCCCATAAAGTCATCTAGCTACTATTGCAGCTCAGTTTTAATCTTCGTAGAGGATAATAAAGTTATCACTATAAAATTCTTTTTTCAATGAAGCATTTCTGATTTCTAAACATGTTTTAGCTGCCTTTTCTACTTCTGACACTTTTCTAAACACTATGAAGGTCAACCTCAGTGGATAAGTATAGAACACTCCTGTCAGAATATTTTTCATATTTCTTTCATGACATTCAGTGTTCCTCATACCTATATATTCCACTCTATCTCATGTCCTCTAGTTTGTATTTTTCTCCCCAGGTCCAATTTCTAATACTATTTTTTTAAATAAAATGTTACTTAAAAGCTGAGGTCCTGCATATATGTTCTCAAATTACCTAGAGTTTTATGCTTGCATTCTTTATTTTTTATCTTTGACAGTACTAGGGTTTGAGCTTATGGTCTTACAATTGGTTGGCAAATGCTCTATCACTTGAGCCACACCTCTTGCCCTCTTGGCTTAGATTATTTTTCAGACAGGATCTTATGCTTTTTGCATAAGTCTCAAACCATTATCCTCCAATGCCTATGGCATAGCTTGGATTAAAGACATGAGTCACCACTCTTGACCTTATGTTTATATAGGGTCAAGAAAACTTTAATCAGGGATTAGAGTTTGGCTTTTATAACTCCAAGGAGAATGCAAATTGCTTCTCTGGCTTGAAACATGCCCACACTGCCTGTTGCTGCAACAGCATTTTCCTAATCTAGAACGATAGCCCTAAAGGAAGAAACAGTTACAGGGAAGTGTGTGGGGAACAGAGTCAAAGAAATGCCTCTTTATGATGATTCTACTGAGGATATTCCTAGGTTCCAGCTCTTCCCTCTTGTAATAAGATTACTTGGACTGTTATTTTAAGATGGGAGATGTCCAATCTGTCTGGCTAGTGGACAGTCTGTGAACATTTTGCCCTTTCCAGGACACACGATGAAAATCAGAAAATTCTTATGCCACTTTTAAATCCAACATTTCAAATATCCACTCAGAAAAACGTCCACATGACACTAAATTACAAAGGATTTCTCTTTTATTTCTGGTAATAAAATGGAAGTGTGATTTTGCTTGAATATATATATATATATTTTTTTTTTGAGGTAATGGGGCTTGAAGTCAAGGCCTATACCTTGATCACTCCATCAGTCCTTTTTTTTTTTTGTGGTTGGTGTTTTTGAGATAGGGTCTTGTGAAGTATTTGCCCAGGTTGGCTTTGAAACATGATCCTCCTGATCTCTGCCTCCTAAGTCGCTAGGATTATAGAAGTGAGCCTCAGGTGCCTGGCTGAATGTTTTTAATTGTATAAACAAAGAATATGACAGAGCACAAGTGATATATGAAAAGGAAATAAAGCTTAACAGGACTGACAATAAACTTTCTCTTTGTGCATAAGAAGCTCTTAAATGGCTACTATTGTGGGTTGAATTGTGTTCTTCCCCATGTACCCTTCCCGTCAAATTCCTATGTTGAAATCCTAATCTCCAGTACCTTAGAATGTACCTTTATTTGGAGATCAGTTCTTTACAGAAGTAATGAAGATGAAGTGACGTCATTAGAGCAGACTCGAAACCTAATATGACTGGTGTTCTTATAAGGGGAAATTTGGAAACAGACTTGTGAACATGAAGATGTCCATCAACAAACCAAGGAGAGAGGTGTTGAACAAATCCTTCACTCACAGCTCTCAGAAGGAACCAACCCTACCAGAATCTTGACTTTGGACTTCTAGCTTCCAGAACTGTGAGAAAATAAATTGTTGTTTAAGCCACCTAAGTATTTGGTACTTTGTTACAGCAGCCTAGAAAATTAATACATCTAACTACTTCATGCCCTCCTCCTGCAGACATGAAATTTCAAATTTGGACATTCTTCAACTGTATATTATTTTGAAGCTAATGTATATCTTTATTAATTTTGTTTATGTATATCTACATTAATTTCATATTTGAAAAAAATCTATGATGTTCCTTAAATGGTAATTTTCTAGATTTCATGCTAAAGTATATAGTAGTAAGAGATGTTGAGATTCATTTAAAACAATGTTCACAGTTTATAATGGAATAAATAGAGACTTTTAAAGTCACCCAGTTAGTTATTGGTGAAGATAGTTTATACAGCAATCAGTCTCCATTGTTTCATACAGTAACACTGAGCCATCTGTAGCTAGTAGCCAAGATGATACATCAACATTTAATTTTTCCTATTTTATTATGTTAAAAATATGTTTAAAGTCAGGATAATATAAGAGTAATTAAGATCACAAAAAAATAGCTTACTTCACTAAAACCATATTCTACAAAGTTCTTACATTTATGCATTCCTAATTAGACTATTGATAGTTTCAGTTACATGATAGACAGATTTTTGTACCATTCTGAAGTAAGCACAGAAATTATATATACTCAATACCTAAGTCCATGGAAAGATTAAGATGTTCTTTAGGAGTCTGTATATCCAAGCAGAAAAAATTGTATAAAAGCCACCTGTGCACTTGCTAATTCTCAAAATCAGTTTTCTCAAGTGCATTATACCTACTTAGGTAGTTTTCAAAGGAAAACATTATTTTATTTCAAATGAAGTTAATATTTGTCATGAATTTAACTATGTGTTAATAGACCTTTACTGTTTCTCTTCTTCTCTGATTATTTTCTGTGATCTTTATTTAATTCTTTGAGAAGACTCAAGGTAAATAAGATAGGAATCTTCAAATATTTGACATGGAAGAGAGGACTTAGATTCTTCTACCTTAGAACTAAAATGAATTGGCCTAAGTCACAATTAAAAAGATTTCAACTCAAAACAAAGAAAACCTTTTAACAGAGCTGTGAAGTGATAGAATTGGCTGTTGTGGAAGATCTTCAGGGTTAGTCACTCATGATATTCTAAGCATCAGACCATCTTGGGGACTTTGTTACAGAGAAAATTCATGCAATGATTGGAACAGATTAAACGGCCTTTATAACCTTGTCTATTTTAGAAATTTATGTTTCTGGGAACTCAGTAGCAATTTCACAAAACTGTTCCCCTCAACTAACACAAGCATCACTCCTTCCTACTCTTTACACCCTTATGTTTGGTGTGCTGCTTAATTCATTTAATTAAGACACAGAGATGAAACATCAGTCCTAATTCATATTATGTCAAGCTAGCAGCAAGGCTCAAATTATAATTTTTTCTTACTTACTTATGAGTATGAAATGGTGTATTTATTACTATACTGGATGAGAACAACAAATTGTCTTATAATTATAAAAAAAGATGGGGTTATTTTAGCAGTCATATTAGCCATTGTGATTCTTTTCTAAACAGCTAAATGTATATATTATCACTGTTAGATAATCAGAACTGACCTCTTTCATTTTCTCCAGCTCATTCTGTAAGGCTTGCTTTGCAATTTCAACTTCTATAAGCTGTTGCCTCAGTTTCTCATTTTCATCTTCTGTTGTTGTTCTTTTTTCTTCCACATTTTCCAGTTCATGGTGAAGTCTCACAGATACATCCTTTGCAACCTAAATTAAAGTGTTTGTAAGATAAAATACAATCTTATTCATGTTGAAAAATATTAAGAGCTAATACTTACACAGAGCTTACCATATTACAGTTAGTGTTTCAAATGTAGTCCAAGGAAAGATTACCCATAAGCCATTCACATATATCATCCATTTAATCCTCACACCAATTCCTTGAGATTAGTGTTGTTATTATTATTATTCCTCTTTTATACAGAAGGAAACAATCTCAGAGAAGTGAAATAAATGCTCATGGTCACACAGCTAGCAAGAAGCCAGGTAGTTTCTGCACCTGTAAAATGGTTACATTAATAATCTCTACCCTAAGGGTTTCTTTTTCTTAAAACAAAATGAAATAATAATATAAGTAACAATGCTTGCTACAGTGCCTGGTAAATAGAGAACACCCAACAAAAGTTTGAGAAAGAAAAAAAATTAGTCTAAAAATGGCTTTGATGAACTGTTTACTCTTGCCTTTCTTTAATATAGGGAAATAGCATTTTATTTTCATATTTATAAAATTAACACAATTGAAACTATATTTGGTTGCCAACAGTGATAAATATTATAACTGGTTTGCATTATCAATAAATCTGCCTATAGTCAAACTGAACTGAAGAAACCACACTGGTCTAAAAAACATATTTTCAAGGTTGAGGTTTCTCTCATAGGAAAGATTCTGAAGGAGCAACTTCACTTCAGATGGGGTTTTTCGTTTGCTTTATTGTCTTTACTTCTCCAAAATGGGCTACAATTTACACAGTTTTCCTTTCAGGGAGTTACTGAAGTGTAAGTGCAGAAAAGAAGAGTCCTGGTAGGGAGGCGGGGACCTGCTGAAAGAAATCTCAACTCTGTTGTTTTTCCCAGGGCTATTCTTACTCTGGGAGTCCACATCACACTGCTCTTGAATGCTTGGTTCAACCGGGCCTTCACTTGGAAGACAGACACTGGACACCACCACGTTAAGACCAAGCCTGGGGTCTGCCACAGCCTTGTTTCAGCACAGGAGGAAGGAACCCTCTTCCCATCCCTTCTAGAACAGCCACAGTTACTGTTGGGAGAGCCCCCTATGCTCATCCTCTCCACAAATACTCAACATTTCAGATGCACCTGTCTGTACTTTCCCCTTTGGAGACCACGATATTCTGGGAAACTGTTCATACAACTCTTTGTGAGTCACCACAAAAAGCCCTTCACCACAAGGAGTCCTTAACCACAGTCCCACCCGCCGCCCCTTCCTCGCGCCCGCCAGCCCGGTGCTGCAGACCTTGAGGTCCTGCTCCAGGCTGCGCAACAGCTCGCCATCGATCTCCCCTGTCTGTGCGTAACGGAGCCGTTTGCGCTCTGCTTTGCGGAGGCGGTACTGCAGGATCCGGCAGTTTTTGTTGGCTCTTTCCAACTCGTGGCGCATTTCCTGCAGTTGACAGGCATCCTCCTCGAAGAAAGTGTCCCTCATCTCGTCCATCTCGGTTCTTAGCTCATCGATCTCGTTCTGAGGCGGTGACAGGCCACAGGTCAAAATCAGCCTCGCTTTCAGCCCCTCGGATACACACCGTGCACATACCATCCCAACTCCAAATTCCCAGCTTTATGGGCCCCCTCTCCAGAGAGACAGGAGTGACAAGGAGCTGAATGAAGGAGAACTAGAAAAAAGGGACCCACGGTAGGCCTTCTCTCTCACTCTAGCGCTCTCTAGAGCTAGAAAAAGTGGGACAAACGATGATTAGAAAGACGAAGGCCCAGATTTCATTTTAAATGAAACCTAACACTGTTTCAAATCCGGACCAGGATGGGAACATCCATCCCCACCTTATCAGTTCCCCTCCTTTAAAGCTTCCTAACAGGTTGTCCTCCTCTCCCTCACCCCCGCCCCCTCCCGGACACGCCCTAATCCTCTGAGGCCATGCTTCCCCTCCCCCACTCCGCTTCCCCAGCCCTCACCTTGAGAGTCTCGTTCTCCTCCCGCAGCTTCTCCATCTCCTCCTGAATTTCCTCCTGCTCTTGGAGCTGCTGCGGGTGCGGCTGCGACGAAGGGGGAGCCGCCGCTTGCATGCCCCCGCCGCTGGTGCTGCCCTCTGCGCTTTGCTGGGGGCCCTCCGCGGCCGCCGCCATTGGCGAGGAGGAAGGGACGATCAGGGGCTCACAAATGGTTGGGGCGCCTGCAACCGGGGAGCTGCGGCTGCTACTGCTGCCGCCGCCGTTCTTCGTGTGCATCTGAGCCGCGGCCGCCGCCGCTGCCGCCCGCTCCTTCTTGAGATGGAATTGGATGAGCTCAGACTGCAGACATCCTTCTTTCCAGTAGCTCCCTCCACCGCCGCTGCCGCCCCCTGCAACACCGCTCGCAGAGTTTTTGCTGCTGGGGCCTGGGGTTTTGCTCACCGAAGAGGTAGATGGCGAAGGGGAGGCCCCCTCCCCACTGCTGCCGCCCCTCTGCTGAACGCGAACGCCTTTCCCTCGCCAGCCCCTGGGCGGCGGCGGCTGCGGAGCACCCCCCTCCCTGTCCCCGGAGCCACCGCTGACTCCTCCTCCTTCCCCGCCCCCTCCTCCTCCTTCCCCAAGCGGAGGGGGCTCCCCGAGTTTCGAGGGCACTGACTCTATCTCCCGGGGTGGCTCCTCTGGAGGCCCGGGTCTCCTGCTGCCCACAGCGGCCAGGGTCGCCGCGGGGACTGCTTCAGCACCAGTCACAGGCTGGACAGCTCCCGGAGCGGCCCCTTTGGGTGCTGGGGGCACCGCCTTCTCCGTCCCGCCTCCGCCTGCTCGAGAGCCCGCCGCAGGCACCGCGCGGCTGGCAGTCTTGTTCCCCTGCTGTTGCTGCTGCTGCTGCCGAACAGAATTGAGTTTAGTGCCAGCCCCCACAGGGGACCTGGTGGCTGCGGTTGTCTGTCGGAAAGAATTGTCCCTCGGTCTAGCGGGTGACTGAGCTCGCTGCTGCTTTCTGCTGCTGCCCTCCGGATGCAGGCGAGCCTCGGTGGCTGCGGCGGCTGCAGAAGCTGAGGTTGCGGCAGGGGCAGCGCCCCCGGTTGGTGGCTGACTCATGGCAGTCTGGGAAGAACCTACCAGATGCGACTCGGAATTCACCACTAGATCATTGTTTTCCCTCCTCACCGCCACCAACCTTCCTTTGTAAGCTGGCACGGAAACAAAAGACGAGAAAGATATATGTCTGCGACGTTACAGAGCAAAGGGTGATTTTTGCTGTACAAGGGAAGCTCCAGAAAATGATAAGCCTTGGGAGGCGTTTAATAGAAAGAAGCTTTGACTTTAGAAATAGGATGGAGAGCTGTCACTGCTCAGTTTGCCCAGAGTGGCGCTGTCTCCATCTTACTCCATGTCAGTAAAATGACAGGACAGAAAGCAACTGGAGCTTGCGTTCTCTAGGTAGCAGATTTCCAAGGGTGAGATACAGAGTCAGAAAGGGATTGATGGGAATGAAGCTAGGAAAGAAGAAAAGAAATAAAGCGAAGAGGCTTTGGAAAGAAAAGTAGATGTATACAATACTAGAGTTGTCAAGCCTCCACTTTCACCACTGTGGCTTTCCTCAGTATCAAATCTGTATTTTAAGCCTACTTTAGTGAGAAAATTCTATTTAATTAGCATCAGAATGTGCCAATTAGCGAAAAGGGGTTATGGTTTTATAGGTTGCTAGAGAAAATTTGCTGCGGATGACAATTTTCTCAAGCAGATTGAACCCCTAATGTTGCACCCAATATTTTTAGAATAGGACTAAAAGAAAAAGATAAATAATGATTTTAAGTCACCCCCAGTTTCAAGAAAATTTATATGCTTCAGTCACTCACAACCCAACAGATTCTTTTTTTAACCTTAGAAAAATACTTTTGGGGATGGAGTTGTGGCTCGAGAGGTAGAGCACCAGCATTGCAAGCACAAATCAAGCTCAAACCCCAATACTATTAAAAAAAAAAAACTTTTGAAATAATTGATGGGCAGCTCTATACAGTCCTTGTTCCATGACATGAAGTCTTCTAAACTTACTTGATACTGTAGTTCTAGAGATTCATTTTAGTTTCATGTGTAACTGCAAGTAGAAAATATTTTCATTCATAAGCATCTTCTTAGATGGTATATAATAGGCTAACTTGTACTTTTAAAGTGCTTATTCTCTCCTGTGAAGCCAAATTCTAGATGGACTGGCCCTGCACTCAGAAGGTGGGTGCATCCCATCTTCCTTCAGTCTGGTAAGATCAGTTTCCTTTGTGTATCTTTCCAAAATAAATCCATCATGTAATCTTTAATACAGCAAGCTGTTTCCAAGGAAAAGGCACCAGATTAACTAGCTAACTAGGCCACTAGGGAAGAAAACTCCTGAGGCAGTAGCACAGAAAGGACATGAATGGCATAAAGCTCTACTTGAAAAATTAGTCCCTTTAAGAAGGGTAAGAAGGGTTACCTGACCACTTTACTTGATTATTCTTGTTGTTTAACAAGAACTTGTTGTTTAACAAGAACTTGTTGTTTAACAAGTTATGATCCTAAGGATCATCATAACTTAGGATGTAGTAATTCTTCATTTGATAAAGAAATATTGCTGAAAGCTTCGTTCTCCACTCCCCCCCCTTTCTATTTCTGGGATCTCCTTCAAACTCACTTTGGACTATAAAGGTAATCAAAGACAATTTGAGGAGGAAAAAGTTGCTCACCAACTTTCTTTCCTCTACTTCTTTTGGAGCCACAAGGCTACTAGAATGGCCTAGTTAATCAGCATGGGTCAAGGGAATATGGGCCCCCAACTAATGATATAACGATGCAAATGTTTGTTTTTTAATTAAGAATAACCACTCCGGAGCTGGGAAGCTATTAGATAACACTTAAGCCTGGTCCCCAGACAATTTTAATCCCAAAGAAAGCTCTGCTTCCTATAACTGGCCTCCATAAACAAAAGCACCTGGCTGCTGTCACTTTGTGATTCCCACAAAGTGACAAGATGCTGCATCTCTTTCAGGCTTCCCCCATGGAAATCATCACCCAAGCAACCCCAACAAGGCCAAAAGAAACATTGAACCTCAAGTTTTATCTGCCCCCCAGACCCACCCCATTTCATGTTCCCATCCCTTTAGAAATCCAGAACTGCTCACTTCTCAGCAGAGGCGATGTCCTCAAGAAGCTGATGCAAATCAACAGAACTTTCTTCCCTTCTGATATTCCGGAGATCTCAAGGTTTATTTCTAGATCTGTCAGAGAAAGTTCAACTTCCTAGTATTATGTGAGATTTTTCTGGCTGAGCACGCCGGCTAGCCTCAGTTCCACACCCACTCACTCGACTTCTCCAAACAATGGCGGTAACCTCAAGATTCAGCTGTCTTCCAGGCAGGTTCCTCGCTGACGGTCCAGGGCTGGGCCAGCGCTGTGGCTCTCAGCAGGCGAGCACCCGAGGTACCAAGCGGTGCCAGACGCTCCCGGGAAAGTATTCATGAGCTGACCTCAACCGACTGGGCAGGGGAGAGGGCGGGATTGAAGGAAGGACTGGATAGTAGTAACCATAGAGAGGTTACTTTGAAAAGGAAAGAGAAAGTGGGGACGAGGAACCAGGGATGGGGTGGTGGAGGTGGGGTTGGAGACAAGAAGACAAAAAAGCTAGAGCCACGCCCGAGATGGAAGATTGGCAGCCTCACTCAAAGTCCTTGCTCCACTCTCATTTCCCGTACTTGGCAAAAGATTCCAAAATCACTTAAAATCGGAAGCACTGGTTTTGTGCAAAGCTTTGTCTCGGGGCGGATCAATCCCCATCAATTATTTACTTGAGCTCTCTTCTCTGGGAGGCGAGCTCCTGCAGCCTTCCCGGCGTGAGTGGCGTCTCCGGATGCAGCTGCGAGGCCCGGCGGGCGGCGGCCCGGAGTTCTCTTTGTTCCCTCACTTTAATTCTCAGCCGCGCTCTACACGCGGTGCGCCCTCCCCACCCCCAGCTCGGGCGGAGTCATCAGATGTCGTTTCCACCGTAGATTATGGTAGGCAAACCTACCGTTCCGGGGACAAAGGGTTCTTGTGAAGGCACGACTACTTGAGTGGAAACAGAATAAACATCAGCTTACAGAGATGGTTTGCTGGCGAGTTAGCCCTCGCTGGTACATTTTCCCTTCTCCTTTACCGAGGGCCAGTTTCTTCTGATGCAATTGCTGGGAGCCACAATCTTTATTGTAGTGCACGTGAGTAACAAGAGTCAGGAAGAATGTTTATAAAATCACTGCTTAAAAAGCATATATATTCTGAATATATATGCTTTTACAATTCACACTTACGTTATTGCACAGAAATAATTTTTTAAATTTAAATTCGAGTGGAAATTTCTTTTTCTTTTCAGCTTTTTTTTTGAAGGGTGGGGGGCGTGGGAGCCTAGCTCCTACCTACAAGAATTCCTTTGTGAAACTTGAAGATGAGAATAAAAATAAGTACTGCTTTGGAAATGGCATTTTTCTAGAAATTAAAATTGTCTTACATTGTTATGTGGTTTTGTCGGGAAAAAAGGTGAACATCTGGTAACAAAAAGCGTTTGCACTAACATGAACTTTCGAGTAATACGAGATTTTATTTTGCAAATGTAAATCTTGCATTAAAAGCAAAATAGAAACAATGTGGGAGTGGCTTGACGATCATTACAGTGAAATAAAGTGTGTTCAAGACCTAGTGGTACCTGGCACTGTCCAAGGTGCTGGGGATACAAAGAAAAATCAAGAAATTGTCTTTGTGCTGGGGAGACTCAACATATCAGTGAGAGTTGATACAATTTGATATTTTCCTTATTCTTTTTCTGATACTGTTGGGAAGTGGAAAAGTAACACTTATGACATCCACAAACACTGACTTTTATACCAAAAATAAAGGGAAAAATGACAAAGTGAAAATGCAATCACAAGTTAGAGTTTATATTAGACAATTTGTCATTATGTACTCAAATGTAATTGCAATATTCTTAAGAAACATCAAGATCTACAGGTCTCACCCAACCAAAGTGGATAGAATGAATAAATATATTTTTCAGGTTAGTCTTTATAAATAAATGATTGATATTACAAACATAAGTCTAAGACACAAAACAGTACTGCATGTCTGAGAACTCATCCTGCTTGGGCATCTCCATTTGTTTTTTCCCTAAGGTAGTAACATTTATTCCTATGCAGTCAATAACATTCAAAAGTCTAATAAAAATCAAGAATGTATTGTCATACAAGCTTAAACAGTATGTCTAAATGTTTCATTTTATAATTTAGTAGTATACAGTTTCAGGGCTGAAGACTATAAAATAACATAAGTATAAGTAGTTTTTAAGAAGTATCTTTACCAATATAAATATGGCATAAGAGAATGATCTTTTTAACTAGAAATTTGTCTGGCTTATTCCCTTATTTGGTTGTTAAATTTTAGTTCTTCAATTAAGGAAACCTCAAAGATGATTGTTCAAAGATTTCTCCAGAATCTAGGAAGACTTTGACATTATTTTTTGCTGTTTCAGAAGCAGGGTTGCCAAGTGACCTTTTAATGTCTACTTGCAATAATGAATCATATACTTTGTAGCACAGCAGAAGATAAGGATCTTCAATTAAGGGAAGAAAGCTAAACTCTCAACTTTAGCTTAGAAATACACAGAATAAAATGTTGCCCTTCAATTATTATGACTTAAACCACATCACAATATTTAAGTTCTATATAGGTTTACAGTTTGCAAGGCCCTTGTACTTTATATAATAATAATAGAAAAACTCTCTAAAGTAGATATTATTTTCCTCTCTGAAAACACAGAGTAACTGAATTTCAGAGATATTGAGTAGCTCAAGTTCAATTTCAAAATCACATTTTTCCTTTAGCAAGTCTTTTTATGTATTTCAAATGCCTTTGAAAAATACTACAACTTAAAAATCTATATGACTAGGGCTGATTTTGTCCTAATGTCCTAGTTCAGCATTTGCAGCAAGCACAGGATATCTGGTGAACACTATGACATTATACTCCGTGTAAAATTTTCTCCTTCTTACTCTTTGTATCTATTTCCATTCTACTTTTCTGTTAGAAAAACTAATATATTCCCTATTTTCTTTTGATCAAACCATCAGATTCATGTACTTTCTTACTAAACACTAGTTTCATCATTGCTTTAGCTTTTTCCTTTGCCTCTGCATCTATTTTTTTCTTTCAAAATACCTGTGTGTGTGTGTGTCTGTGTGTGTACTGCTGGGGATCAAATCCAAGGCTAGCTCAGCACCGTACCACTGAGCTACTGAGCTACATCCTCAGGTCTGCTTAAGACATTTTACATTTCTTTATTTCCTCTGCAATTACTTTCAAAGGCCACACGCTCATCATTCTGACTAGACTGTTGCAAATGCTTCTTATATGAAATATTTTTTTCTGCCAAATCCATATACCTAATGCTGTCACTTTATACCTTTATTAAACAATTTCCTCATGTCATTCTGCTTAGAGTCATGTCTGAATTCCTCATCCTAGACTTCAAGGAAGTGTATGGACACCATCCTCTACCAAAAATGTACTCCCTAATATTTCACTACACTGTTTCCCTGTCCTACTTAGATCTATTATCTCTGTTACCCATAAACATACAGGTTTGTGTAGTTTCTGTACCTTTCCTCTTGTCATTCCCTTTACTTGGCATGTTCTCCTTCTTTTCCTGTTCAAATTCTGCCCATATTTTAAAGCTCAGCTTAAATTTCAAATTTCTCATAATATAAACTTAGGCCAGTTAGTTAAATTTTCTGAGTCTCAGGTTTTAAACATTTATTTATTTATGCAATACATATTACTAAATTCATGTTATTATCCATGTTATTATTATTATTAAAAATGAAGGTAGTTCTTATTACAGTACATGGAACATAGTAATCATAACTAATAATAAGTGGCAATTATAATGTGCCTGGCTTGGTAAACTGTCAATAAATATTAACTATAATTTATAATGTTGATATTTCATTAACATTATATTAGTTTAACCAAATCTTGCTACTCCTAAATATCTACTAAAACAATTATTTTATAATTGTCCATGTAGACAGCAAATGCCTTGGGAAAATACTCTTGTGTCCTTCACTATCTCCAGGACAGAGTTGGATTCATAGAAGCAGTTCAATATAAATCAATTGATTTGTAGAGTCCTACAGAAGAAGCTGATGCTCTTGAATCTATGCTTAGTTTTTTTAAGAGTAATTTAGCTTGGACATTGTGTCATTGTCCTGACCTTTACTGACATGTGTATGCAGTCACATACCACATTTGTTCTCTAAATTTCACTTTCGATAACAACAAATCACAGACTCCTTGGGTTGTAAACAACATGATTCATCTTTTGATCTCTAAGCAGACCACCCAAACCATATTTCAGACATCTCAATAAAGGCTATTCTATCATCTCTTAGATTAAGTGTACATATTTTTTGTTGTTGTTGTTTTTGTATTTTAAGATAGGGTCTCACTATGTAGCCCAGGCTGGCTTCACACTTGTGGTTCTCCAGCTTCAGCTTCCCAAATACTGGGATTACAGACATGCACAACCCATGCTTGGATTTATACATGTTATGACTTAATATTATGACCAAAACCTCTTGGTTTGATTCGTATGTTGAAATAAAACTGCTTTGTGAGTGAGAGAAATTGCCACTATACTATGGCTCCTTTAATTAGTCATGATGTTTGTTGTTGTTGTGCGTATTTATAGATGAGTTTTACACACTCAAACTTCTGTTGCATTTGTTCTGTAAATGTTCATGAATAGTCAGTCTTGGTAATGAGTAACCCAATGTCTAGCCATTTGTTGCTGCCAAAAATACTGCTGAATTCCTGATTTCAACTATGTCTCATCTTAATCTTAATGGAGATTTTCAAGTCCTGTGATTCTTATATAAATACTATACACATTTAAGATCACCATTAAAATTTCCTTTACTATCACTCATTTAATAACTTGGAATCATCAAATTTTCTGTATAAACATTTTAATTACCCTTGTGCAACTCCTCTGGATCCTCCTACAGCTCTCAGCATTCATCAGTAGTTATTAAAATGAGCACAGTGGTGAATTCTCAATAAAGATGACATCCTAAGTTTCCTATATTTCACTAAGAAATTTCATTACAAGTTTTGCATTTTTAGTTTCTATCTTCTCCCTTTATGACCAAAATAAAGTATTTAAAGTTTCTCCATGTTGACATAATCTAGCAAGCACCCACTGAATGAATATGGCAAAATTTATATTATACACTTGATATTAAGACAACTATAAAGATAATATTTTAATAATTAGCTGATCTTGTTATAGAAAGAAAAAGCAAATATTCATGTATATCTTGTATCTTAATATTTTGCTTTTTTGTTCTTAAATATTAGTGAGATTTTATATGCAGTCACTCAAGTTTTGGATATTGTAATATGCTATGCAAAGATCAAGGTGCTCTTCTCTAACAGTATGTATGCTAGATTACTTTGACGTCATTTATTCTTCACCCAGTGATATTTATTATATGTAAGAGTTTATTCAGT